TGAATCGACAACATTGTAAAAATATTTTTCAAAGTGTCGTCTGAAATGGAAATCGCCAGTTTGAAACTAGGGTCGTAAAGCTCGAGCAAGCTGCGTTCTGTTTGACTAATATTGACTTCTTGTTAGTCATTTCATTGGTCGGTCAAAGTTTGCAAAAGGTCGTTGTGACGTGACCTGTGAATAAATCAACAAAAAAGGACGCAGACGGACCTAAGAAAATAAAAAGGGAAGAAAAAAACTCGCCTTTTTATCTTCTACCCTTGTTTGTCACTTTCAACCCCCAGCAGACTTTAATTAATTACAGATTTAAACCAAGAGCTACCCTCACAGCAAAACAGTAACAAAACATGTAGTGTCCTTCCTAAAATACTTGTAAGCTATTTAAACCACTATTGATATGCTCGGGTGCAGGCTAAAACGGCACCTCAGCAAAACGTCACCGATTTCTCTGGCGAAAACGGCACCGCATTTGGCGAAAACGGCTATACAACAAGTTAACTACGCCTCCCAATCGGAGTCGGTGAGTAAATTGGAGTAGGGGGCTAATTTCTTATTTGTTTTATTTCACAATTAGTTGTGTTTGTAAGAGACGATGTGAGTTTAATTTCTATTGTTGGATTATAGTTGGAGTAGAGGCTAATATCTAATGTAAACTTGTTTTAACATCTCACAATTATTGGCGCTTGCAAGTTACAATGTAAGTTTAATATCATTTATTTGACAAAGGTAAAAAAAAATAATAAGGTGCCGTTTTCGCCAATCGGTGCCGTTTTCGCCCGGTGACGATTTGCTGAGGTGCCGTTTTCGCTATAACCCATATGCTCAACAATATACCCCAAAATCTTGTGACTGTAGAACAAACACTACAATCAGCAACCTCATTAAAATCAGACCTTAGTTCTTGCTACCGCTAAACAAAGATCTGAAGACATCCCATTAGGGGTCACGTCAAAACGACCTTTCATCCGACCAATCAGAGCGTCACTTACCAGATCCTGAAAGTGACAGTCGGAATGTGATTTCTAATCATACAACCTCGAAAACATTAACACGGGATATTCCGAACGATAGTTACAACGACTGAATCCATACAATCTGGACCATCTATTAACCATTCAAGAATGTTCTTTTGTTCAGGTTTCAAATTTTTAATCGAGAATTTGTCAAAACATGTTTCGAAGCGTAGTTGCCAATTTAAAATTAGTGCCGCAAAGCACGAAAAAGCTGCCTTCTGATTGGTCATTCCATTGGTCGGTCAAAGTTCGCGCAAGGTCGGTCTGACGTGACCCGTAATGGGATGTCCTCAGATCTTTGTTTAATGGTAGAGAGAACTAAGATCTGATTTTAATGAGATTGTCAAATCAGTAACATGATGTGGTTTGGTGCCCAAGGGACATAAACCCCAACAACCAGGTGCAGCAAACACTGAACCCAGCGGCCCCCTCCTGACTGAAATGTCAACATCACAAAAAACAGATATATAAATGACTGACATCACCCCCACCCCACCTCATCCCACGCCTAAAAAAATTAGCAATTGTTATATAAAGTAAAACATATTATAAAAATATAATAATATTTGAAAAAAATATTTGAAAAAATATAACGGTGTAATTTTTTCATGACCCACTTCTTATGGTTCTGACACCCCTCCCCCTCTCCTTAGCCGTGTCATTTTTTAAGGACCCCCAATTGAATCTCAGGGGCTCCCTCTCCCCTACAATATAAATTATGACCAGTCCCTAACTGAAATGTAAAGATCACAACAAACACTGTAACAATGATATATAAAAGACGAGAAAATAAATATACGATCATCATTCTTCTGCATACATTTAAGGATAGTTCCATGCTTTTACCGTGGGGATTCCAGGTAAGAATAGTTCCCCAGCAACCTATGCTGGTCGTACCGTGGGGATTCCAGGTTAGAATAGTTCTCCAGCAACCTATGCTGGTCGTACCATGGGGATTCCAGGTTAGAATAGTTCTCCAGCAACCTCTGCTGGTCGTACCATGGGGATTCCAGGTTAGAATAAGTCCCCAGCAACCTATGCTGGTCGTACCGTGGGGATTCCTGGTTAGAATAGTTCTCCAGCAACCTATGCTGGTCGTACCATGGGGATTCCAGGTTAGAATAGTTCCCCAGCAACCAATGCTGGTCGTACCATGGGGATTCCAGGTTAGAATAGTTCCCCAGCAACCTATGCTGGTCGTACCATGGGGATTCCAGGTTAGAATAGTTCTCCAGCAACCTCTGCTGGTCGTACCGTGGGGATTCCAGGTTAGAATAGTTCCCCAGCAACCTATGCTGGTCGTACCGTAGGGATTCCAGGTTAGAATAGTTCCCCAGCAACCTATGCTGGTCATACCATGGGGATTCCAGGTTAGAATAGTTCCCCAGCAACCTATGCTGGTCGTACCATGGGGATTCCAGGTTAGAATAAGTCCCCAGCAACCTATGCTGGTCGTACCGTGGGGATTCCTGGTTAGAATAGTTCTCCAGCAACCTATGCTGGTCATACCTTGGGGATTCCAGGTTAGAATAGTTCCCCAGCAACCTATGCTGGTCGTACCATGGGGATTCCAGGTTAGAATAAGTCCCCAGCAACCTATGCTGGTCGTACCGTTGGGATTCTGGGTTAGAATAGTTCCCAAGCAACCTATGCTGGTCGTACCGTGGGGATTCCTGGTTAGAATAGTTCCCCGGCAACCTATGCTGGTCGTACCATTGGGATTCCAGGTAAGAATAGTTCTCCAGCAACCTATGCTGGTCATACCTTGGGGATTCCAGGTTAGAATAGTTCCCCAGCAACCTATGCTGGTCGTACCATGGGGATTCCAGGTTAGAATAGTTCCCCAGCAACCTATGCTGGTCGTACCGTTAGGATTCTGGGTTAGAATAGTTCCCAAGCAACCTATGCTGGTCGTACCGTGGGGATTCCTGGTTAGAATAGTTCCCCGGCAACCTATGCTGGTCGTACCATGGGGATTCCAGGTTAGAATAGTTCCCCAGCAACCTATGCTGGTCGTACCATGGGGATTCCAGGTTAGAATAGTTCCCCAGCAACCTATGCTGGTCGTACCATGGGGATTCCAGGTTAGAATAGTTCCCCAGCAACCTATGCTGGTCGTACCATGGGGATTCCAGGTTAGAATAAGTCCCCAGCAACCTATGCTGGTCGTACCGTGGGGATTCCTGGTTAGAATAGTTCTCCAGCAACCTATGCTGGTCATACCTTGGGGATTCCAGGTTAGAATAGTTCCCCGGCAACCTATGCTGGTCGTACCGTTGGGATTCTGGGTTAGAATAGTTCCCAAGCAACCTATGCTGGTCGTACCGTGGGGATTCCTGGTTAGAATAGTTCCCCGGCAACCTATGCTGGTCGTACCATGGGGATTCCAGGTTAGAATAGTTCCCCAGCAACCTCTGCTGGTCGTACCATGGGGATTCCAGGTTAGAATAGTTCCCCAGCAACCTATGCTGGTCGTACCATGGGGATTCCAGGTTAGAATAGTTCCCCAGCAACCTATGCTGGTCGTACCGTAGGGATTCCAGGTTAGAATAGTTCCCCAGCAACCTATGCTGGTCATACCTTGGGGATTCCAGGTTAGAATAGTTCCCCAGCAACCTATGCTGGTCGTACCATGGGGATTCCAGGTTAGAATAAGTCCCCAGCAACCTATGCTGGTCTTACCGTGGGGATTCCTGGTTAGAATAGTTCTCCAGCAACCTATGCTGGTCATACCTTGGGGATTCCAGGTTAGAATAGTTCCCCAGCAACCTATGCTGGTCGTACCATGGGGATTCCAGGTTAGAATAAGTCCCCAGCAACCTATGCTGGTCGTACCGTGGGGATTCCTGGTTAGAATAGTTCCCCAGCAACCTATGCTGGTCGACTTTGGGGATTCTGGGTTAGAATAGTTCCCCAGCAACCTATGCTGGTCGTACCGTGGGGATTCCAGGTTAGAATAGTTCCCCAGCAACCTATGCTGGTCGTACCGTAGGGATTCCGGGTTAGAATAGTTCACCAGCAACCTATGCTGGTCGTACCGTAGGGATTCGGTGTTAGAATAGTTCCCCAGCAACCTATGCTGGTCGTACCGTGGGGATTCCTGGTTAGAATAGTTCCCCAGCAACCTATGCTGGTCGTACCGTGGGGATTCCTGGTTAGAATAGTTCCCCAGCAACCTATGCTGGTCGTACCGTAGGGATTCCTGGTTAGAATAGTTCCCCAGCAACCTATGCTGGTCGTACCGTGGGGATTCCTGGTTAGAATAGTTCCCCGGCAACCTTTGATGGTCGTACCATGGGGATTCCAAGTTAGAATAGTTCCCCGGCAACCCATACTGGTCGTAATAGATGACTTCATTGGTCGGTTGGTCAGGCTCGCTGACTCGGTACATAGCGTGTCACTGTGCCCTGATGAGATGGATCGTTGGTCATAATATCAATCACTGGATGATCTGGTCCAGATATGTTTATGTACAGGCTGCCCTCATACAGCTAGAATATTGCTGAGTAAGCCATAAATGCAACAAAGAAACAAACACCCCCTCTCAATGAAATTCCAGGGTAGAATTGGTCTCAATAACCTATGCATGTTTTTCAGTGCGACGAGTGGTTAGGTTAATTGTGTGCCGACGTACCTGAAAACTTGGGATGTTGCTCATATTATCAACCACTGGTTTGTTTGGTCCTGATTTTACTGGTCAGCGTGATACAGTCTGAGTATTATTGATTGTAGAGTAAAACAACACTCACTCACTCACACACTTGACGTAAAAGTCACTGGCTCACTCACTCACTCACTCACTGACTCACTCACTGGTTAGGCCCGTGAAGATCCGGGGTAGAATAGGCCTTCAGCAACCCATGCTTCCCGTAAAAGGCGACTATGCTTGTCGTAAGAGGCGGGATCGGGTGGTCAGGCTCGTTGACTTGGTTGATGCATGTCATCGTATCCCAATTGCGTGTATCGATGCTCTTATTGTCAATTACTGGATTATCTGGTCCAGACTCGATTATTTACAGACCGCCGTCATATAGCTGTAATATTGCTGAGTGCGGCGTAAAACAACAAACAAACAAACAAACAAACGCACTGGTTAGATCAACTACCATACATCCAGGATAGAGTCAGAGTTGGATGTTTGTGATTGGCTGAAGTTTGTCCAGGTCTGGAACAACAAGGAGCCGGACCGTGTTTGTGGAGCCAGTTCCTGGACTCATCCCAGTTACCAAGACAACAGTATCTCCTGCCTTGATTATACCACATTCGGCAGATACGAGAATCCCATGATGGAACCTGCGATCCATGTCTTCACCCCAGCTGTCAGCGAGCTCCTCTGAAAGTACATATAAACAGTACAACGATAAATATATTTAAAACAGATGTTAACAAATACTCTACCCAAAGCAACATCTGGTTCACAACATTAGTCAGTGGGTGTGAAAAGTTGCATGCAGGTATCTTTAATGGGTTCCAATTTCGGCGACGAAAAAATAAACACGGCCGACAGTATTTATTGACCAGTTTTACCTATACTTAAATGTATAATCTCATCTTCATAGAAGGTGCAGACATCGGGCTACGTGGGGCACAAGACGTGTAAATCTCACCTTCATAGAAGGTACAGACATCGGGCTACATGGGGCACAAGATGTGTATAATCTCACCTTCATAGAAGGTGCAGACATCAGGCTACATGGGGCACAAGATGTGTATAATCTCACCTTCATAGCATGTGCAGACATCGGGCTATGTGGGGCACAAGACATGTATAATCTCACCTTCATAGAAGGTGCAGACATCGGGCGACGTTGGGCACAAGACGTGTATAATCTCACCTTCAGAGAAGGTGGGCAGCGTGCCCCGGTGTAGATGCAGACATCGGGCTATGTGGGGCACAAGACGTGTATAATCTCATCTTCATAGAAGGTGCAGACATCGGGCTACGCAGGGCACAAGACGTGTATAATCTCATCTTCATAGAAGGTGCAGACATCGGGCTACACAGGGCACAAGACGTGTATAATCTCATCTTCATAGAAGGTGCAGACATCGGGCTACGTGAGGCACAAGACGTGTATAATCTCATCTTCATAGAAGGCGCAGACATCGGGCTACGTGAGGTACAAGACGTGTATAATCTCACCTTCATAGAAGGTGCAGACATCGGGCTACGTGAGGCACAAGTCGTGTATAATCTCATCTTCATAGAAGGTGCAGACATCGGGCTACGTGAGGCACAAGTCGTGTATAATCTCATCTTCAGAGAAGGTGCAGACATCGGGCTACGCAGGGCACAAGACGTGTATAATCTCACCTTCATAGAAGGTGCAGACATCGGGCTACGCAGGGCACAAGAGATGTATAATCTCACCTTCGTAGAGGATGGGCAGCGTGCCCCGGTGTAGATGCAGACATCGGGCTACGCAGGGCACAAGACGTGTATAATCTCACCTTCATAGAGGATGGGCAGCGTGCCCCGGTGTAGATGCAGACATCGGGCTACTTGGGGCACAAGACATGTATAATCTCACCTTCATAGAGGATGGGCAGCGTGCCCCGGTGTAGATGCAGACATCGGGCTACTTGGGGCACAAGACGTGTATAATCTCACCTTCATAGAGGATGGGCAGCGTGCCCCGGTGTAGATGCAGACATTGGGCTACTTGGGGCACATGATGTGTATAATCTCACCTTCATAGAGGATGGGCAGCGTGCCCCGGTGTAGATGCAGACATCAGGCTACGTGGGGCACATGATGTGTATAATCTCACCTTCATAGAGGATGGGCAGCGTGCCCCGGTGTAGATGCAGACATCGGGCGACGTGGGGCACACGTGTGATGGCCACAATATGGCAGGGTGGACGGTAGTGGGATACAAGGCCTGCTGATCTGAAGTACAAGTGAGAGTTTGTACATTTACACTACTGTGTATTCCATCTGCCACTGTAAACAATTAGGTAAACAACAACAAGTGGGTAATAGGCCGATGGACTGATGGGCAGACAGACTTGTGGGCAGATGGACTGGTGGGCAGAGAGACTAGTGGGCAGATGGACTTGTGGGCAGAGAGACTAGTGGGCAGACAGACTTGTGGGCAGATGGACTGGTGGGCAGAGAGACTAGTGGGCAGATGGACTTGTGGGCAGATGGACTTGTGGGCAGAGAGACTAGTGGGCAGATGGACTGGTGGGCAGACAGACTTGTGGGCAGATGGACTTGTGGGCAGATGGACTTGTGGGCAGAGAGACTAGTGGGCAGATGGACTTGTGGGCAGAGAGACTAGTGGGCAGATGGACTGGTGGGCAGACAGACTTGTGGGCAGATGGACTTGTGGGCAGATGGACTTGTGGGCAGAGAGACTAGTGGGCAGATGGACTGGTGGGCAGATGGACTGGTGGGCAGATGGACTGGTGGGCAGATGGACTGATGGGCAGATGGACTGGTGGGCAGATGGACTGGTGGGCAGATGGACTGGTGGGCAGATGGACTGATGGGCAGATGGACTGGTGGGCAGATGGACTGGTGGGCAGATGGACTGGTGGGCAGATGGACTGGTGGGCAGATGGACTGGTGGGCAGACGGACTGATGGGCAGATGGACTGGTGGGCAGATGGACTGGTGGGCAGACGGACTGATGGGCAGATGGACTGGTGGGCAGATGGACTGGTGGGCAGATAGACTGGTGGGCAGATGGACTGGTGGGCAGAGAGACTGATGGGCAGACAGACTGATGGGCAGATGGACTGGTGGGCAGATAGACTGGTGGGCAGACGGACTGATGGGCAGATGGACTGGTGGGCAGACGGACTGATGGGCAGATGGACTGGTGGGCAGATGGGCAGACGGACTGGTGGGCAGATGGACTGGTGGGCAGATGGACTGGTGGGCAGACGGTCTGATGGGCAGATGGACTGGTGGGCAGACGGACTGATGGGCAGACAGACTGGTGGGCAGAGAGAATGGTGGGCAGATGGACTGGTGGGCAGACAGACTGGTGGGCAGACAGACTGGTGGGCAGATAGACTGGTGGGCAGATGGACAGATGGACTGGTGGGCAGACAGACTGGTGGGCAGATAGACTGGTGGGCAGATAGACTGGTGGGCAGATAGACTGGTGGGCAGATGGACTGGTGGGCAGATAGACTGGTGGGGAGATGGACTGGTGGGCAGATGGACTGGTGGGCAGATGGACTGATGGGCAGATAGACTGGTGGGCAGATAGACTGGTGGGCCGACAGACTGGTGGGCAGATGGACAGATGGACTGGTGGGCAGATGGACTGGTGGGCAGACGGACTGATGGGCAGATGGACTGGTGGGCAGATAGACTGGTGGGCAGACAGACTGGTGGGCAGATAGACTGGTGGGCAGATGGACAGATGGACTGGTGGGCAGACAGACTGGTGGGCAGATAGACTGGTGGGCAGATGGACAGATGGACTGGTGGGCAGATGGACTGGTGGGCAGACAGACTGGTGGGCAGATGGACAGATGGACTGGTGGGCAGACAGACTGGTGGGCAGATAGACTGGTGGGCAGATGGACAGATGGACTGGTGGGCAGATGGACTGGTGGGCAGACAGACTGGTGGGCAGACAGACTGGTGGGCAGATGGACTGGTGGGCAGATGGACTGGTGGGCAGATGGACTGGTGGGCAGACAGACTGATGGGAAGATGGACTGACTACAGACTTACCGCCCAGAGCTAGTGAGAATTAAGATGCCAGCTGCTTCCGCCCGGATGGCTGTCTCCACTGCTGTCATGGCAACAGTTTCTGTGTGATCATACTGCAGTATTGTAACTTGACGCAGGATGCGGAACAATGTTTCCGTGGCTAGTGCTGCTTCAGACTCCTGACACACCTGGAACAGATTGAACAAGTAGCTTATTGCTGGAAGCCATCGACCAACAGAGACCATCTGCCTTCTATGAACTAAGCAATAGCTCCATCTCCATAATCCACGCTTCAGGTTTGATTCAATGAATGTTGAGGGTCCCCAAACTTTATAAGTTGGAGAAAACATTGCTTGAAACTAAGACAACAATAATAGCAATATTTCAGCCATATCATGGCAGGGGAAATACCATCTTCCCGAGGCAAGGGAGTTAACTGACTGTAAAAGTCCAGTTTCCACCCTTGCCAAACTAGGCTGGAATTTTTAAATTCAATCGTAGCTCATCAGTGGGTATTACGAGTTAAGTCATTTCTATGTCATTCCCATTGACCAATCAGATTCCACCTCTCATATCACATGCAATTGCTTCAAACAAAATGGCGGCACCCAGTGAAGACGATCTGATCAATAATCAAGATCTATATTGTAATAAAACGGGTCTAACTTCGGGAAGTGCATCAAATCACGAGAGCACCGTGATTAAAAACATGAAAAGATTTGGAGAATATCTGTTGACGCTCAGATGACGGTTCACATGCTTTGCAAATTCCACAACCAAAATCTGCACGGCAGTTTACGAACCAGATGTTGATTCCATTACGCAAACTTGACTCATTAGTTAAGTCAAAACATAACTCCATGGTTCCAGCCTAGTTGGGCAAGGGTGGTAACTGGACTTTTATAGTCAGTTAACTCCTTGCCTCAGGAAAATTGAAATGTACAACAAACATGTCCCACCCGGGACTAATTGTTAAAGCTTTCCATCATGCTATTAAACATGGTGCCATTCCAAAGTTCAGTTCTTACAGCAACCAGTGTCTCGACAGCTTTGATTGGATGCTTCCCAAAGGCAGTCTCGCCAGTCAACATCAAGCAGTCTACACCGTCAAGGATGGCATTGGCAACGTCCCCCGCTTCAGCGCGTGTAGGTCGAGGATTACGCACCATGCTCTGCAACATCTGCAACAAAGCATCTGCATACCTTATCAAATACAACTGGATTGGTTGGTTGGTTGGTTTGTTGTTTAACGCCGCACTCAGCAATATTCCAGCTATATGACGGCGGTCTGTAAATAATCGAGTTGGATCAGACAATCATGTGATTGACATCATGAGCATCGATCCACGCAATTGTGATACGATGACATGCATCAATCAAGTCAGCGAGCCTGACCGCCTGATCCTGTTAGTTTCCTCTCCAGTGATTGACGTCATGCACATGGGTGGGTGAATGAGTGAATGAGTGAGTGAGTGAGTGAGTGAGTGAGTGAGTGAGTGAGTGAGTGAGTGAGTGAGTGAGTGAGTGTGGTTTTACACCGCTTTTAGCAATATTCCAGCAATATAACTGCAGGGGACACAAGAAATGGGCTTCATACATTGTACCCCTGTCAGGAGTCGAACCCGGGTATTCTGCGTGACGAGCGAACGCTTTAACCACTAGGCTACCTCACCAACCTACAACACTTCTAAAGGGAAGTTATGGCAGCAATGGGTCCAGGGTATTAATAATATGACACATATATAACACCCTGGATGATAGAGGATGGAGACCCCGAGACATTGCAGGTCCCATTGACTGTCATGAGTTTGAATCCAGAGTCAAATTGCCGACCCTTGACCTTTCAATCCCATGCATATTCATTACCTGTGAAGCACAGATGACTGGTTTCCCTGCACGACGAGATCGACCAATCATAAGCTTCTGCGCAAGGAATACCTTCTCTGGCGGTAGATCTACACCAAGGTTGCCCCGAGCAACAATGGTGCCATCAGAAACTTTCAAGATGGCATCATACCTACGAGAGATGGGAAACACATCTGTAAAAATCCATTGGGGACTAAAACATGGAGATTTTATTACTAACATTGTTACAGACACTGTTCCTTTCATGTCTTAATTTTGGGACTTGTCTTCTCTTAATCACTTGGTATATGCAGATGGTATACAAGGGGAAGCTGAAAAGGTCTGAGTCTAACTACGAAGGACTGTGTTGATGGATGCGTTAATTATTTTTCAACACGATCCCGTCCGAGGTCGACACGCACGATTCTGCCAACGATGCTGGAGTGCCTGGACCCCACTCAGTGTTCGAAGTAGACATCGGCCCGTAGGCCCGAGCCCCGAGGCCCGAGGCTGACAGATTTGTTCTCGGGCTGATAGTCTTAAATTTCAGCATGCCCTTATGGCCAGCATTTTATTTAAGTGATTTTTTATTAAGCATTATTTAAGTAACGTGAAAATCATAACTTTCATATTTATAAACAGTAGAATTAGACCTTTCAAATAACATGGAGTCACAAAGAAGTTTTACAAGCTGATAATTTCCGGATAAATGTAGGCATCATCTATCACCACCGAGTCTCTGGGAACTCGGTTTGATAGCAGTAAAAGCTTCTGGTTGAGTGGTTGTGTTTTGTAATATACGTTGCTAGAGTATGTCTCCCTGCTTCAGCTAAAATGTTTGGGCCTACAGTTTTTCCACTGGGCGTACAGTTTTTCCACTGGGCCTACAGTTTTTCCACTGGGCCTACAGTTTTTCCACTGGGCGTAGTTTTTCCACTGGGCGTACAGTTTTTCCACTGGGCGTACAGTTTTTCCACTGGGCCACTCCTGGTGGCGTCAAATGTCCTCTACAGTAGATATGGCATTATCATCACTTACATAATGCTTGTCAGACAGTTCTCTCTCAAAGTCTGAGTGAGTTTGGTTTAACACCACTTTTAACATGATTCCAGTTATATCACGGCGTGTCAGCTTATTGTGGGAAGAAAGCCCGAAGTGATGCAGATCTCAGACGTTTACCACTTCGCTGAAACCCACGAGCACGGGTATGGTGCTGACAAACCTAGAAACAAAATCGGGATGAACCGGGATTCAAACCCATCAAAGTCTGAGAGAGGTGGAAATTACCACTGTGGTGAAACCCAGTAGTTCGGGTATGGTGCTGACAAACCTAGAAACATAATCAGGGTGAACCAGGATTCTGGTGTGCCTAAGGGATGCAACTCTTCACTGCGAATTGTGGCGCCTTAAACAACTGGGCCACCCGTGCCCCCTGGCGAAATCAGACGTTTACCATTTGGTGAAACCCAGTGGTACAGGTATGGTGCCGACAAACTTTGACACATAATAAGGGTGAACCATGATCCTGGCGTGTCTAAGGGATGCAACTCTCCACAGCGAATTGTGGCACCTTAAACAACTGGGCCACCCATGCCCCTGGCAACATCAGACATTTTCCACTTTGGTGAAACCCAGTGGTACGGGTATGGTGCTGACAAACCTTAACACATAATTAGGGTGAACCATGATCCTGGCGTGCCTAAGGAACACAACTCTGCACAGGTGCACTGAGTGGTGGAACTGCACACCATAATCGAGTCTTCCACAATGTTCAGCCAGCCCTCTGAGATCACTTGTTTATTCGGGAGCCAAGTGGCTCCTAACATGAATATTTTACAGGCCAAATCTAAGTTCTTTGGAGCCAACATTTTTTTTCTGAAATCTGAGAATCTGGGATAGGCCATGTGCTCATAGGTTTCAATTGAGATAGGACACTTTTGCAGGAGCTTCATCGTGTGAAGTCTAAAGATAGTTTAGTTGTTGGTTGGTTGGTTGGTTTGTTGTTTAACGCCGCACTCAGCAATATTCCAGCTATATGACGAAGGTCTGTAAATAATCGAGTCTGGACCAGACAATCCAGTGATTGACATCATGAACATCGATCCACGTAATTGGGACAAATGACATGCATCAACCAAGTCAGCGACAAGCAGTCGCCTTTTACGGCAAGCATGGCTTGCTGAAGACCTATTCTACCCCGATCTTCACGGGTCAGTTGTAATAGACAGATACATTAAATAATAATGTAAATATTTCCTTTTGGCACGTGTGGTAAAATATCACTAACGTTCATGCAAGTAAGACGTACAACTTTATGGATAACAATTTCTGGTTTATTGCATATAGCACTCCTGCTTGATAACGGTGTAAGAATCTACATCGAAATGTCGCTGTATGCAATATATCAGAAGTTGTTGTCCATAAAGTTGTATGTTTTTCTTACTTATTTTGCCAACTTCTAGAAAGCCTGTCAAACAGTTATTTTATGCAAATGCAACAGGGTACAATAACCAAGCTATAAATGAAACCCCTGTAGTTGTATTAACATTAAATAAATAAACATCATCGTATGAAACATTCATAAGTAATTATGTATACCACATCGGCCTTGCAAAAAAGTTTGTTCATAAGATTTGCAATTACTGTCTATTCATATCTTAGGCTTTAAAAAATAAAAGAATTGGTTCTCAGGCAATGGCTTTTGAAAATATTGTGCGGGCGGGCGGTAGTTTTTCTTTCTTTTTTTTGGTTGTTCAAGCTGGTATGTAACCAAATTTTGTTTACAATTTCGGCGAAATCATGTTATTCTTAAGTATTGTAGCATTTCACTGCGGGGGGTCTTGTGTTCAAAATGCGGAATATTGAAGGTTTTTGTAAAAAAATTAAAATGGAAAAAAATGAAACATGCGGCTGACTTTATGATGATATGGGCGGTGCCTGAGAACCAAAACTATTATTTTTTTTAGCCTAAAACAGATACTGTAGCCAGTTATGTTTACTTTTAGGTTGCCATGTGGCGAGCTGTAGATAAATTTAGGTCGCAATCATAGATTTAAGTTGCAATGGTGACCAAAATGGTCGCTATTTGGAGGACAGTCAGCCTTGACATTTTCACTTATTAGTCCAATAAGAAGATTCCCTTTGAATCACAGAAAATGGAATAGTGTGGAAACTTTTATACATCCAGCTTTCAAACTTTTTCTTAAGAAAAACAAGTAAATGATGATTTAAAGTATTGGGGGTATACAGAGTTGTCCCCCTTCAGCTTACCTCTTCACGCCCTCATGGTTTTCAATTTTAGCAATGACCTTGACCTGATCAGCCTTGATTCCCAGCTCTCTTCTCACCAGCTGTACAATACCAGAGCTCCACACCCACGATACGAAGATCATATCTATCTGGGGAATAAAGGTTTTATTATATGTTAACTGAAGCTCCACACCCACGATACGAAGATCATATCTATCTGGGGAATAAAGGTTTTATTATATGTTAACTGAAGCTCCACACCCACGATACGAAGATCATATCTATCTGGGGAATAAAGGTTTTATTATATGTTAACTGAAGCTCCACACCCACGATACGAAGATCATATCTATCTGGGGAATAAAGGTTTTATGACATGTTAACTGAAGCTCCACACCCATGATACGAAGATCATATCTATCTGGGGTATAAAGGGTTTATGACATGTTAACTGAAGCTCCACACCCATGATACGAAGATCATATCTATCTGGGGAATAAAGGTTTTATTATATGTTAACTGAAGCTCCACACCCACGATATGAAGATCATATCTATCTGGGGAATAAAGGTTTTATTATATGTTAACTGAAGCTCCACACCCACGATACGAAGATCATATCTATCTGGGGAATAAAGGTTTTATGACATGTTAACTGAAGCTCCACACCCATGATACGAAGATCATATCTATCTGGGGTATAAAGGGTTTATGACATGTTAACTGAAGCTCCACACCCATGATACGAAGATCATATCTATCTGGGGTATAAAGAGTTTATGACATGTTAACTGAAGCTCCACACCCATGATACGAAGATCATATCTATCTGGAGAATAAAGGTTTTATTACATGTTAACTGAAGCTCCACACCCACGATACGAAGATCATATCTATCTGGGGTATAAAGGTTTTATTACATGTTAACTGGAGCTCCACACCCACGATACGAAGATCATATCTATCTGGGAAATAAAGTTTTTATTACATGTTAACTGAAGCTCCACACCCACGATACGAAGATCATATCTATCTGGGGTATAAAGGGTTTATGACATGTTAACTGAAGCTCCACACCCATGATACGAAGATCATATCTATCTGGGGTATAAAGAGTTTATGACATGTTAACTGAAGCTCCACACCCATGATACGAAGATCATATCTATCTGGAGAATAAAGGTTTTATTACATGTTAACTGAAGCTCCACACCCACGATACGAAGATCATATCTATCTGGGGTATAAAGGTTTTATGACATGTTAACTGAAGCTCCACACCCATGATACAAAGATCATATCTATCTGGGCTATAAAGGTTTTATTTCATGTTAACCGGAGCTCCACACCCATGAAACACAGCTACAATGTAGAATCATGTCAGCCTTATTATTAATCCATAATTTATGAAAATACATCAACAAATCTTCTCACCTCATTCCTCAGTGCAAATACAATGTCATCGACATCTTCGTCTGTCAACTTCTGTTTCCCTGACAACATCCCCGGGACTTGGCACTCATCATAGCTCCGCAACACGCCCTCTGTCTCCACAACACAGTTCAGGTAATCAGGGTCTGGGAAAAGTACAGGTGATGAAGAAGAACACATCCACACATCGTCAATACTTCCCAGATTTGTATACACTCTGTTCCTCCCCCACCCATGGATACCTTGTGCCTACATGCTTTCCCTCTCACTGGGACCGGGCAAGTGTCTTGACTCGCTAAAATATCAACTATATTGCAAAGCAGTCGTAGAAAGAGAATTCCCTACAGAGAAGGTCTACCAGAGAAGGTCCATCAGAGAAGGTCCACCAGTGAAGGCCTACCAGAGAAGGTCCACCAGAGAAGGTAAACCAGAGAAGGTCCACCAGTGAAGGCCTACCAGAGAAGGTCTACCAGAGAATGCCTACCAGAGAAGGCCTACCAGAGAAGGCTTACCAGAGAAAGTTTACTAGAGATGGCCTACCAGAAAATGCCTACCAGAGATGGCCTGCCAGACAAGAGAGGGCCTACCAGAGATGGCCTACCAGAGATGGCCTACCAGAGAGGGCCTACCAGAGAATGCCTACCAGAGAAGGCCTACCAGAGATGGCCTACCAGAGATGGCCTACCAGAGAATGCCTACCAGAGAAGGCCTACCAGAGAAGGCTTACCAGAGAATGCCTACCAGAAATGGCCTACCAGAGAATGCCTTCCAGAGATGGCCTACCAGAGAATGCCTACCAGAGATGGCCTACCAGAGAAGGCCTACCAGAGAAGGCCTACCAGAGATGGCCTACAAGAGAATGCCTACCAGAGATGGCCTACAAGAGAATGCCTACCAGAGATGGCCTACCAGAGAATGCCTCCCAGAGAAGGCTTACCAGAGAAAGTTTACCAGAGATGGCCTGCCAGTCAAGAGAAGGCCTACCAGAGAATGCCTACCAGAGATGGCCTACCAGAGAAGGCCTACCAGAGATGGCCTACCAGAGAATGCCTACCAGAGAAGGTCTACCAGAGAAGGTCTACCAGAGATGGCCTGCCACACAAGAGAGAGCCCACCAGAGAAGGCCTACCAGAGATGGCCTACCAGGGAAGGCCTACCAGAGAATGCCTACCAGTGATGGCCTACCAGAGAAGGCCTACCAGAGATGGCCTACCAGAGAACGCCTTCCAGAGATGGCTTACCAGAGAAAGTTTACTAGAGATGGCCTACCAGAGAATGCCTACCAAAGAACGCCTACCAGAGATGGCTTACCAGAGAAAGTTTACTAGAGATGGCCTACCAGACCAAAACCTACCACAGAAAGCCCACAAGACAAATCCATAAGCATCCAGATGAGTGGTTCCTAGTCCTCAAAGAGTCATTGTTATTTTCAAGTAGTACCTTTGTGTTTGACTGTGATACTGAGTGGCCCGTCTTCCAGGTAGATGGTGTCTCCCACGACAGTCTTCCTGATCAACTCGTCCTTGTTGACGTAGATGTGCTCCTTGTCACAGATGTTCTTGTATGTGGCATCCCCAGTCAGCCTTACGTTGTCTCCATCCTTCAGAACCATCGACCCTCCAAGTTCCTGATCATAAGAATGATATGTGAATGAAACCTCTGCCGTTTCCAAGTTGTTTGTTTGTTTGTTTGTTTATTGTTTAATGCCGCACTCATCAATATTCAAGCTATATGACGGTGGTCTGTAAATAATCTAGCCTGGACCAGATAATCCAGTGATTGACATCATGAGCATCAATCTACGCATTTGGGATACGATGACCTGCATCAACCAAGTCAGCAAGCCGGACCTCCCGACAAGCATAGTCGCTTTTTACGGCAAGCATGGTTTGCTGAAGAACTGTTCTACCCCGGATCTTCAAGGGTCATGAATTATGTCATTCATGTCACAGTTAGTAGGATGTATTCTTACACCAAGTCCAACCCAACGACAAATATTAGGTTCTATACACATAACCAGAGTTTCAGAGATGCAGAAGCCCACTAAAATCTAACAATAAATATTTAAAGATTTGAACATATTATGATCGATCCCTGGCCGCGTCATAACAAAAGACATTAAAAGATGGCACTTGTTGTTACCCTGCCTGGCGCTTGGCATTAAGGGATTAAAACAAGAACTGGGTCCGTATACTGTGCCTATACTGTGCACGCACGCACGCACCCATGCATGTCGCTATGAAGTGCAATTCCCTCCCCTCTCACCGATCTTAACTGGCCTATGTGTATGGCAGGTCCTGATATGTCTATCGCTATGGCAACCTGGGTTGGTAGTTTCTTGTTAGCAAGTCTTTCGGCCTCTCTTATCTTGTCTACTGTAGCACGGTGTTGCTGAAAATGAAAAAAGATGTCAATAAAAGACATAGGTTCCTCCGACAAATCTATTTAAACATATATGAAATTGAATATGAGTGAGTATGGTTTTACGCCAGTTTTAGCAATATTCCAGCAATATCACAGACGGGGTCACCAGAAATGGGCTTCACACATTGTACCTATGTCAGGAATCGAAGCCGGGTCTTCGGCATGACGAGCGAATGCTTTAACCACAAGGCTACCTGACCTCCCATCCTCAAAATGACACCATGATAATATCCCAAATATAAAAAAAACGCAAGCATGGGTTGCTGAAGACGTATTCGCCCGCCAGCCCACCCGCCGGAACAGCAAGGTCTTCAGCAACCCATGCTTGCCGTAAAAGGCTACTATGCCAATGACATGGATCCATGCTCATGATATTAATCACTGGATTGTCTGGTCTCCTCTCCTCCTCCCAGAACATTCAATGGTTGCCCTTACTGACTTCACTGGATTGCACGTCGCTATATAAGTGCAATAATCTTGGACGCGACATTAAAACCACATATCACCTCACCTCACCTCACCTCACCTCACCTCACCATTCCTTCCCCTCTCACCAATCTTAACATATGGGTATGGCAGGTCTTGTTATGTCTATCGCTATTGCAACCTTGGTCAAAAGTGCAATTATTTGTGATTATCTTGAATACTCATTTCACCTCATCTCACCTAATCCCCACAATGTTCAACAAGCACCTGCACAGTGGCCATCCTTGTCCTTGATCTTCGAAGGGCAGATAACTCTCAAAGATCAAGCTTGATTATTGAGTTATATTATACAAAATATTACAGGCATGCAATACAATTATTAAGACAAATTACCTCCCTTGTAACTTACTTGTTGAGATCCGTGTGCCATATTGATGCAGCATATGTTCACCCCTTTTTCCATTAGTTGTTGTAAAATGTCAACTGAATCACATGATGGGCCTGGAAAATAAAAACAAATGAACAGTTTTTGTGAAGGCTTGTAATATAATGTTTGTGAAATCTCATTAACAAAATCAAAATATCAATGTATTTCTCGTTCCTGGGATAAATGAAATTAGGCCACATCTTTTTTACTTGCTTCACAGATTATTACAGGGAAATACCTGTCGGTAGGTGGGAATTTTTTTTTTTTTAAACAATTCAATTTTCATTTTAGTTTTCTCCTCCACTACAGGTCGGCTGGTATAAAAAAATAAAAGTGTTTTAATGTGGGAGGAGAGCCTACAATACAGTTGTTGCTTGAAGCTAAGCGAGAATGCTGTTGTGCATCTAAAACAACATCTGCTGTTTAAAATAGTTTTTAGTCAGTACGTGAGTGAGTTGGATTTAACCGTGCTTTAACAGTATTCCAGTTATGTCACGGCGTGTCAGCTTAATGTGGGAGGAAAGCCCGAAGTGATGCAGGTCTCAGACGTTTACCACTTTGGTGACACCCACAAGCACGGGTATGGTGCTGACAAACCTAGACACATAATCGGGGAGAACCGGGATACGAACCCACAATCATAGGTTTCAGGCGTTCCCAAGGGATGCAACTCTGCACAGTGAATCGCGGCGCCTTAGACAACTGGGCCACCCGTGCAATGTGATATAGGAGAATGGTTACTGTATTATATTCCATTGTATATATTATATATTGTGTTTTGACTGGTGAAATCGGGACTGGTATTTTTAATGACTGGTAGTTTGTGTATTTGTTTGTGTTTTAACGGATTGATTTTGTTGTTGTTTAGTGTGCACTCAGCAATATAACAGCAATCTGTAAATAAACAAGTCTGGACCAAACAAACCAGTGACTGACATCATGAGCAATGTTCTGAACCATTGTATACTGACATGCTTTCAACCAGTGACTGACATAATGAGCATCGATCTGAGCCATTGTGTATTGACATGCTTTCAACCAGTGACTGACATCATGAGCATTGATCTGAGCCATTGTGCATTGACATGCTCTCAACCAGTGACTGACATCATGAGCTTGACATGCTTTCAACAAAGTCAGCAAGGCTGACCACCTGATCCTTTACTGGAAATTTGGCTTCAGGATGGTTCCAGCAGTACTTGCATACTTATTCAGGGGAGATTACTCTATTCATCAGGGGAGATTACTCTATTCGTCAGGGAGATTACTCTATTCACCAGGGGAGATAACTCTATGGACTATGTGATGGAGGTATCCTCCAGTCTTCACACAGGGAGGTTAAGTGTAGGAGTATAGGCTCTGAGTTTAATGACATAGAGAAGTTTCTCCTACAGCATACCAATGGTGCAGATGACGCTGGTCCTCTTCAGCGTGTGGCATTCCGCATCCATATCCAGCCGACACATGTGCTGGAGCCGACTCTCCGACATCCTGCCTGATCCTGAAAGAAGAGGTTGGGTTAAATGTTTATTTGAACAGACAGACAGACAGACAGACAGACATCTGCCTTTTCTGAATAGATTAAAACCGTCTGCTTTTCCAATCTCTATTAATAGCATTGTCTCAACAATGTCTAACCCCGAAGTGGCTGTATCATGGTAATTAAACCTATCCACATTGACAGTGCTCAGAAGCAGTTCTTTAATCTTTATTTAATCAATATTCCAGCTATATGAAGGCGGTCTGTAAATAATCGAGTCTGGACCAGACAATCCAGTGATTGACATCATGAGCAATTGATATATTATGACATGCATCAACCAAGTCAGCGAGCCTGACCACCCGTCAGTCACCTCTTACGACAAGCATAGTCGCCTTTAACGACAAGCATGGGATGCTTTAAAGACCAGTTCTTATCAGGATCTTCACGTCTGCTTGCTACATTCCTAAGCAGTTTGCTACATTTTCCTAAAAAGCATGAAAGCATTTTCTGGTCCAGGACTTGGTCCTGAATTGGGTGTCGCCGTACCCCATTGTCTATACTACTTGGGACCTAGTGTTACGGGTAGCTCCCTAAAAGGTGCTCCCAGCCTTTTTCGGTAAATTTTACATCGTGTACAAAAACAGCACAGGTAAATACCCAAGGAGCTTTTTCAGCATGTGTATGTAGCAGAGCGTGGAGTCATCCCACAGATGACATCCTAACCTTGTCAGCTTGCTGATGGGGTTAACCTCTTTGGTCATGTGGACAAGGCATGCAACCGCGGATCAGAAGGTCTGTGGTTCGCATCCCATCATGGGACTCGGAAATTTTATGGCCGCTACATGTACAAAGGAACTAATTTCCGAAACACAATTACGAGCTAATTTTCTTTCCGAGTCAAGCCAATATATTTAGTACAGATATATAATTCTAAAACATTATCTTATTTTTTTTAAAATCTCAAAATGAAACCCAATAGAGTGATGAATAGATGAGTGAAAAAATATTGATTACCCAATGAAAATGTAATAACCTAATTAAAATAGAAACCTTCGAGTAAAAACTTAATTGCTCAAAAAGTTATCTGAAGCTCTCGTGGTTTGAATAAACCTCTCACAAATGAGAAGCGTCTCAAGATTTTACCTGACCATCTGTGGTGTAAGAGTGTGCCTTAACCGTGCTGAGTGTTTCTAACAAACATGCACTGCATTGTGGGTAAAATACAACCCACACCCTTTTCATGACAAGCAAACACATTCACAACGAGGCATCCCGCTGTTTGTAAGTCAGCATCGGAGGTCATGTTCACCACCGGAGCTTGGGTCATGTCACACGACTCTTGGGTCACCTGTCATAGCGACTGATTTACGACACCCATTGTCTTAAGAACATTTAATTGCAAAGGCTCATTACCCTGGAGCCATGACATCTATATGCCTTGAAACACTGAATTACTGTTATTTATAAGATGCTAATCCTAATTTTTAATCCCCATTTTTGTGTACATCGACCGTCTGCCATCCTGAACGATATGTGCAAAAATGTCACTGATGAATTACTGTTTACATTTATATTTATTACTTACTAAATGTCAGGTGATCTTGGCTATATAAGCCTTGGCCCAGAGAGATTGAAAAAGAGGAAAAAAAGAAAGGTCTTACCCTTAGCCTAGCTAGGGTTAGGCTGGGTGCTCCGGGGCACCAAGACAACAAGCACTACCACTATGTGCTGACCTGGCACATAGTGTCTTTTGTATGTATATATCTACATGTATAAAGTAAAAATGCATATACCGCAAGCCATCGTCTCCAAGTTGGCACTTCCTACTGAGAACCATACGTCGGCCCCTTGCATATACGAGTATGCAAATTATTCATTAATCAACGTCAGACTGACCAACGCGTTGTTACACCTCACCTTTTCAACTAGGTCAAAGGATGACTTCAAATACAATGTTCTTATACAGCCTATCCAAATGTGGAGCCTCAACCTTAAGGTGGCAGCTAAATAGCAGATTTCATGTGTCAACACTGACAGTCAATTAACAACAGTTCTGCTGTCAAAATTGACATTAAAGTATTTTCTGCACGGATACTGAAGATGAGTGAGTGAGTGAGTGAGTGAGTGAGTGAGTGAGTGAGTGAGTGAGTGAGTGAGTGAGTGAGTGAGTGAGTGAGTGAGTGAGTGAGTATGGTTTCACGCCGCTTTTAGCAATATTCCAGCAATAAATGGCGGGGGACACCAGAAATGGGCTTCACACATGTCGGGAATCAAACCTGGGTCTTCGGTGTGACGAGCGAACGCTTTAACCTCTAGGCTACCCGACCCCCCCCACTGAAGATGAGAACCCATTACTAAAATCCAAATAATGGTAACAAGAAATGTAATAATAGGATTTTATTTGTTTGTTGTTAAACGCTGAACTCAGCAATATTCCAGGTATATGACGGTGGTCTGTTAATAATTGAGTCTGAACCAGACAATCCAGTGATTGAGATCATGAGCAAAGATCTACACAACTGGGATATGATGTCATGCATCAACTAGGCTCACTGTCTTGGTTGATGAAATTATATTACCAACAAGTTTTATTATGACATTGTAAAAGAATTAAAACAAATTCAAAATTGATAGAAAACAGCTGTTCGATTGAGCTGAGGTTAACTTGACTTTCATTGACTTGGACCCATGAAGATTCCGGGGTAGAATAGGTCTTCAGCAACCCATACTTGCCGTAAAAGGCAACTATGCTTGTCGTAAAAGGCGACTAACAGGATCAGGTGGTCAGGCTCGCTGACTTGGTTGATGCATGTCATCGATCCCAAATGTGTGGATCGATGCTCATGATATTAATCACTGGATTGTCTGGTCAAGACTTGATTATTTACAGACCGCCGTCATATAGCTGGAATATTGCTGAGTGAGGCGTTAAACAACCAACCAACCAACCAATGGTAAAAGCCTGCCCCGCATTCAGCAATATTCAAGCTATATGACAGCAGTCTGTTAATGTTGACATGCATCAATCAAGTCACCAAGTCTGACCCCCAATTCATCCAGGCTCTCTGGTCCAGACTGTGAGGCCGGGATGCAGTTTGCAGAGAATGCTCAGTAACAGACATGCACATGAGCACGTGCTGTGCATGCAAACTGCACCACACCCGACTGAACATGGCGGTGGAACAACATGCACATATCGATTAACGCAATATTGACAACATGACAACATCCTGATGCAAGGGACTTAACTGACTGTAAAAGTCCAGTTTCCACCATTGCCAAACTAGGCTGGAATTTCTGGGCAAATTGTTGCGCCACCAGTGGCTATTACGAGTTATGTCCCTTCTATGTCCCTCCTACTGACCAATCAGATGCCACCTCTCAAATCAATTGCAATTGCTTCAAACAAAACAGTGCGCCCAGTGAAGACGATCTGATCAATAATCAAGATCTATATTGTAATAAAACGGGTCTTACTTTCGCGGAGTGCATCAAATCAGGAGAGCACCTTGGTTAAAAACCTGAAAAGATTTGGAAAATATCTGTTGATGCTAAGGTGTCAGTACGCATGCTTTGCAAATCCTGCAATCGACTGAAATCTGCACAGCACTTTACAAACCGAATGTCGATTTCGTTCTGCAATTTTGACTGCACAATGGATAGACTCATAAGTCCAGCCAAAACATAACTCCATAATTCCAGCCTAGTTCAGCAAGGGTTGAAACTGGACTTTTACAGTCAGTTAACGCCCTTGCCTCAGGAAGATGACAACATGGCTTCACCAGTTTGCTCTACTGAAGCCACTGGAACAGTGGGTAAAATTGCTGCTAGCCTGCAAGCCTGGAGCTGGCAACATTTCTATCGGGACAGGTGAAATATATTCCCTCCTGTCTGACTGTCAAGTAGAAACTTTCACTGACAATTCTAAATCCGATATTGATATATGTACACAATATTTCAGACACTGCATTGGAAAACAAATTGTCTTAACATTTTCCGGAAGTTTAAACATTAAAAATATTACCGTATTACAAAATAGGCTTTGATTTCAGGTTACAATATTAATATCATTTTTGTGTGCCAAGTAATGTTTCTTAATAGGCCTGATGATAGCGAGCAGCATTTAGATCATCGTGAGTGTCATTCAGATAATGGTCTGATAATGTATAAAGCGAACAGCATTTAGATCATCGTGAGTGGCATTCAGATAATGGTCTGATAATGTATATAGTAAGCAGCATTGAGATAATGGTCTGATAATGTATATAGCGAGCAGCATTTAGATCATCGTGAGTGGCATTTAGATAATGGTCTGAGTGAGTGAGTGAGTCGGGTTTAACGCCGCTTTTAACAGTATTCCAGTTACATCGGGGCGTGTCAGCTTAATGTGGGAGGAAAGCCCGAAGTGATGCAAGTCTCAGACGTTTACCACTTTGGTGAAACCCAGATAATTGCCTGATAATGCATATAGCGAACTGCATTTAGATAATGGTCTGATAATGTATAAAGCCAGCAACATTTAGATCATCGTGAGTGACATTTAGATAATGGTCTGATAATGTATATAGCAAACAGCATTTAGATAATGGCCTGATAATGTATATAGCCAGCAACATTTAGATCATTGTGAGTGGCATTTAGATAATGGCCTGATAATGTATATAGCAAACAGCATTTAGATAATGGCCTGATAATGTATATAGCAAACAGCATTTAGATAATGGCCTGATAATGTATATAGCAAACAGCATTTAGATAATGGCCTGATAATGTATATAGCAAACAGCATTTAGATAATGGCCTGATAATGTATATAGCAAACAACATTGAGATCATCGTGAGTGGCTCTGAGATAACGACTGGCAATCTGTATATCATGACCAGCATCCCCATAACTCCCACTAATTTTAACTGGCATATTTTAACTGGGTTTATATATTTAGACTATAGACAAATAGATTTATTAGACTTTCCAGTTTTGCCGTCTAGCTGCATGGCTGGAATTTATCTGAATTCTACACATCGCCATAATCAATACTGTTACTACGCAATGAGCTACAGTGCAGTAGAACGTCAATATGCATACATATAGATTTTATTTTCATTGCCCTAGTCAAAGTGAATATGCAACAGACAAACTAGGATCAAAATGGTTTCCTTTTCAACTGTACCTCATGGGCTAGACTAACATTTAGTCTCTGAAATATTACACAATATCCTTCTTGCCTCTAAAAATAAAAAAAATTCCCTATGCTGATTTCAGAATGTGGAATAGAGCTAGCTTGAGCTGGCTAGACTTGCTTTTGTATGCATTTCTAGATTATTTTTTTTAATAAAATAAATATATTCCACGGTCATGGTGCAGGACTACACATGGGCACATGGAGGTGTTCACAAGTGTCCTTTGTGTGTTGAGTGAGAACGGTTTTACGCTGCTTTTAGCAATATTACAGCAATATCACGGCAGGGGACACCAGAAATGGGCTTCACACATTGTACCCATGTCGGGAATCGAACCCGGGTCCTCGGCGTGATGAGCGATCGCTTTAACCACTAGGCTACCTGACCGCCAATGTGTCCTTTGAATTTAGGTGTGATAATTAACTAGAAGTATACATTTTGTCATAGCAACCGGTAAGGACTATCTTTATCGGAATGAATAAAGGCTAATTACTATGTCGCCAATACTTACTGTAAATCATGAAATAAATGCGTCTCCGTTGCACATGATGTTAAACCCCACTTCACTTTACCTGCCCTACAAGAGAGACCATGAAATAGATCTATTTAACGGTCTGCCGCCAACAGACAATTTCCAATACGCTGAAGGATGACCTTGACCCTTATAGTACATATGGAACCAGTGTTTCATGTGGCAGGATTTGTTACAGACATGTAAATACTGAAAATCTTGAAAATAATGCGTCTCAAAATTAATACGACTGCTGACCAGGCCTAGCCCAAAATGCAACTCAGTATCAATGCGACTCCCCCCACCCCATCCCTACGTATACATCCTTACTTTGAGGGGCGGTCGGGTAGCATAGTGGTTAAAGCGTTCGCTCATCACGCCAAAGACCCGGGTTCGATTCCCGACATGGGTACAATGTGTGAAGCCCATTTCTGGTGTCCCCCGCCGTGATATTGCTGGAATATTGCTAAAAGCGGCGTAAAACCAAACTCACTCACTCACTCATCCTTACTTTAGTCTAATCAAACAGCACCGTTTATTAGCACTGAGTAGAGCACTTCCTAATAACAACACACAATTTGTATGTATCAAATCAATAAAACAGAATGGCAATTATCAAGGATTGGATAAAAACATAAAAAGCTTACATTTTGAGAAGTGACATATTAAATGAGTTATTGATATTACAAATATCATTTCATCATATCCCTTTTGGGATGTCACAAATTTGACATAATTTAATAAATTTATAAAATTCATAATTATGTGTTAAGATATCACAAATTCATTTATAAACTATCATAAATTAAATTTATCATTAAAAACTAAATTGACTTCACCGAATTGAATTTGTGATACAATAAATACTTCATATTTGATTTGTTTTATTTCAAGAAATTCATTTTTTTGTCACATATTTTAATTATCACAAATTGAACTATTGATATCTAAAAATAAAATTTAGGATATCATGGGCGGATACAGAGGGGGGGATGCGGGTGTGCGCAACCCCCCTTTTTATTTTGAAAAAAAATCCTTATATTTGTATAAATTACCACCAAAGACAATAAATAGATCTTAATTGTGCACCCCTCCTTTTCAAAAGGGCTGTATCCGCCCATGGATATCAATATTAAAATGTTATGATATCAATCCTAATCTAAATATAAATTGTCAATGCAAGAGAATAACCAGCCTATATATTCTGCCGAAACAGATTCCACTTGGCATCAAGAGCAAATTTTTATCTGTGGAAATTATATAAATGGAGAAAGAGAATAAGTCTTCAGCAACCCATGCTTGCTGTAAAAGGTGACTGTGCTTGTCATAAGAGGCGACTGACAGGATCAGGTTGTCAGGCTCGCTGACTTGGTTGATGCATGTCATCGTATCCCAATTGCATGGCTTGATGCTCATGATGTCAATCACTGGATTGTTTGGACCAGACTCGATTATTTACAGTCCGTCGTCATACAGCTGGAATATTTCTGAGTGCGGCGTAAAACAACCAACCTACTAACATCTTAAAATTGAATTCGCGATCTCATTATTCGTACTTCAGATCAATACCTCCTGTGCACGCTACGCCATGAATTCTTATCTATTATTCATGTATGTAACCCTGATCTAACCAACGACGAACCCTTCCCTCATTCCGCCGGTGCAAAATCCACTGACGCGCCGATATACACGGCACAGGTCACGTCGCACAGACAAGTGCAGTCACAAACAGTACAAATACTCAACAATATTCGAGTTTTCAATAATGTAGGCTGTATAATCAGTCAATAATATATTCGACACATATAACAGCATATTACAGTTTAATTTACATTGCTGAATGAGGAAGTTATGCAAACGACGCTGTGTACGTGACGGGAATCAGCTGTGAAATTTTCAAGTAAACACGGCCAATGGACATCTAACTCCTGTGTAGAAACATTAAATGCTGCACTTATTGGCACATCTCGTCACAAAACCTACCTGACTATCGCTACTGTTAACACTGTCTTTGATAGATTCCTCTGTTGGAATAGATTAGCTGCCGTTTCATGCACGTCAACATAATCGAGTTTCTCCCATGCTGACTGAAGCTCTCATATTCCGTGACCCTCGAGGTCACTTGTCGGTCAAGGTGAGGGTTGTGTTGCGATGACATGCACCGGCTGTGCCTATTGGGAATATGTTTTATCATTGGCCGTGACATATGATTATGTATCGTCTAAATAAATCCCCCGTTGCATTGTGATTATGCTATTGCAAAGGAAATCCGCGGGAATTCCGGGATAGAATTGGTACCCATAGCAACCGATGATGGACGTACAAGCCGACTGACTCGGGAGGTCAGGCTCGGTGGCTCAACGGTTGGTGGCGTGTCATCATCCCTGACAGCGTGGATAGTTGCTCATGATATCAATCATTGATTATTTTACAGGCCGCCGTCATATGCGTTAATATTGTTAAACGACACGCACGGACGCATGCGCACTGCCCAGAAGATCATTCGTTCCCTTTATACAAGCACTGAAAACGCATGACCCGCGCAGGTGACACGGGTGCTTCTCGGGTTGCAAACGGGATTCTCGCGTGTGCAACGAGCACCCAACGGGTGTGCCATGTCGTCGCCTAGGAACCGGGTTTCAGATGAATTCTACATACCGTTTTCCCTCATTAAACGCCGAGAATCGAACACACACCGGGCCTCAATTGAACGCCGTTCCTCGATTAAAAGCCGGGTAGTTTGTATGCACTGAATTCTACCCATACAGTAAACTACGGTTATAACGACCTCAAAGGGACCACTAACTTTAATTCGTTATAACCGTAGTTCGTTATAATCAAATGTACGGAATATATATAGCAAATAGACAGGACCCAAAAAATAGTTCGTTATATCCGTCAGTTCGTTATAAGCGTGTTCGTTATAACCGTAGTTTGCTGTAATTAACTTTGTGAAAGAAATATTCACCGGGGGATTCAATCGAGGGAAATACGGTATAGAAATGAATAAATGAACAAAACACCGTGGCGTGAAGCGGCCATTGATCTACATGCAGCGGTTCATAAACAATATGGCTGTGAGTCTTAATGAAGTTGTGTTCGGTGGACCGACTCGGTGCCATCAGGTTCCACTAGGTTTTAGCCCAGACATTGTGCCGAGACGACAGAAGGAAAGCTCTGAATAATATATTTGAATACGTCATGGTTACGCTATTCCTCGACTAAACGGGATTGTCGTCCGCTGGTAAATGTTTGTGGTGTGTTTGTTTGTTTGTTTAACGCTGCACTCAGCAATATTCCATGCAGCTATATGACGGCGGTCTGTAAATAATCGAATCTTGGCCAAACAATCCAGTGATTGATATCATGAGCATCGATCTACGCAATATTGGAATACGTTGACATGCATCAACCAAGTCAGCGAGCCTGACCACCCGATCCCGTTAGTCGCCTCTTACGACTCTCACGAATTAATCATTGTTTCCTCCATGGAGATCTCTGCATCACAGAGATATGGTGCAATAACTTGCGTTCCTATAGGTGACAAGTCAAAATCTTTTTTGAAAAACTGGTGTCCTTTCTCATTATTAAATGTGTCTCATAAACTCAGGAGTTCGATTATTGCAGTAAATGATATTCCTGGTAGATTTGGTATGGTAGATTTTGAAAAAGCTTTTGATTCTATTAGTTGGTCATTCATTTTTAAAAAATTACATTTTTCATTTTTTATGTGAATATATGAGGAGATGGAGATTCTATACTTGATAATGATATCAAATCTCGTGCACGGGTGGTCCACCCGTTTGAGGCGCCGCGATTCGCTGTGCGGAGTTGCGTCCCTTGGGCACGCCATAACATATGATTGTGGGTTCGAATCCCGGTTCGCCCCGATTATGTTTCTAGGGTTGTCAGCACCATACCCGTGCTTGTGGGTTTCACCGAAGTGGTAAACGTCTGAGAACTGCATCACTTCGGGCTTTCCTCACACATTAAGCTGACACGCCGCGATATAACTGGAATACTGTTAAAAGCGCTGTTAAACCCAACTCACTCACTCACTCATTTATTTTTAAAATTAACATTTTTCAATTTTGGTGAATATACACGGAGATGGATTTCTACAATTTATAATGATATCAAATCTTGTATTGTTATTGGTAAAACATCTGCATGGTTTAATGTTGAAAGAGGTTGTCGTCAAGGTGATCCTTTGTCTCCATATATATTTCTATTGTGTGCTGAGATTCTTGCAGGGTTGATGAGGAAAAATGAAGATATTTATAAGAACACAGTAATGACACAGTAACTATATGCTGACAATACAGAGTTTATTCTTGATAGCTCTCAAACGTCCTTTGAGGCAACTGTATAGATACAGTTAACGTTTTTGCTAAAATGTCAGGATTAAAGAATAACTTTGAAAAATCCCAAGTTGTTTGGATTGGGTCTCATGAAAAAATCCACAAATGTTTTACCTCACTTGCATCTAGATTGGAATTCTGATGTGTTTTTAAGGTTTTGGGTATAAAGTTATACACTAATATTATAGAAATTCCTCATCTAACTTTTCTGGAAAGTTATTTCAAATTGAACAAGGGGCACGGGTGGCCCAGTCGTCTAAGGCGCTGCGCTTCGCTGGGCAGAGTTCCGACCCTTGGGCATGCCAGAAACACATGATTGTGGGTCCGAATCCCTATTCGTCCCGATTATGTTTCTAAGTTTGTCAGTACCATACCCGTGCTTGTGGGTTTCACCGAAGTGGTAAACGTCTGAGACCTGCATCACTTCGGGCTTTCCTCACACATTAAGCTGACACCCGTGATATAACTGGAATACTGTTAAAAGCGGTGTTAAACCCAACTCACTCACACTAAAATGAACAAACAAATAATACAGTAAACTACGGTTATAACGAACACGCTTATAACGAACTGACCGATATAACGAACCTATTTTTTAGTCCCGTCCATTTGTTGTGTATATGCTGTATCTTTATCACGAACTACGGTTATAGCGAACTAAATTTAGTGGCCCCTTTGAGTTCGTTATAACCGTAGTTTACAGTAGATGGATGGGGAGAATTACGACACAACTTGGTGAGATTGCTATTATAAAATCATTGCTTGTTTCCAAGTTGTTTTATCGTATTATGAGAACAAAACCCCAGGGAGATTTTCTGAAGCAGTTACATAAAAAATTGTTTAAATTGTAGATTGAATAAATAGATAAATAAAAGTCGAGTTACAATATGTAGATCAGTCAAAGAGGAAGGTATGATTGATATTGACATGGATGAGATAATTGGCGGGTGTGAATCTGTGTAATATATGGAAAAATCTTTTATTTGAGTCTCATTTCTCCAAAAAAGATCTGATTTTAAGAATAAAAGGCTAGAAAGATCAAAAATAACTTTTGGAAGCACTGTTCAGTGTCATTTGGTAAATTTTCTTCCAAAGTACACACTGTAACTTTGCCGAGTTTATTGCTGACCAATATTTTATAATCCTAATATTACAGTTGGCAGAATATCTTTCTTTCACGCGCACTAGTTTTGACAAAGATGTCAGTCAAATCATGGATGCTTTAAATAAACAAGGAGATTGGTATTGAGATTTCCTTTTTCCAGTACTTTGGAGTTATACAAGCTATCAAGAAATTGAAATCTTTATCTCTTTTAAACCTTGAAACGTTTTCAAACTTGGATGACAATAATTATGTTAGAAAAAATATTAAGTGTTAAAAATGGTTCCAACGTTTATTTTTTATACTGATGTCCAAGGAAACTACACCAACTTCGCACAACAAATGGAATAAACATTTCGATAAAACTAGACTGAGAACAGATACATTGGAATACTTTTTCAACAACTAGAGATAAAAGGCTGGGACCATTTCAATACAGAATTATTCATAGAATTCTCAAAACCAGCCTTTTTTCGTAAAATCAAAATGCGATCATTAATGATCTATGTACTTTTTGCATGTCAGAAACCGAATCTACTGTACATTTGTTCTGTGAGTGCGAAGTATTTTGGGAATTCCTGACGGATTGGTTGAAAGGTAAATGTTCTCATATATATTACCGTATTCGACGTAATAAGCCCCCAGGGCGCTCTCAAAATTAGAAATAGGGGGCTCTTATTAGAATATTATTTTAGTGAAAAAAACAGAGTTGAAAGATAAGTTTCGTGGTTTATGCTGACAGCCTGAAGTGTTTATGTACGACAGATATATTTTTCCAGAATTTAATTGCCCATAATTAAAGGTGCATATAACACACGAGTGCGTATTATACGCGAATAAATAAGTCTTGTGTACATTGATCAATCGGAAGGGGTGCTAATTGAGATTGTTCACTAGCCAATATATTAGCAAATGTCGCCGTGGGCGCTTATTAGAGCGGGGCGCTTATTACGTCGAATACGGTACCTTAATATACATGACCCGGAGTTTATATTAATTGGTTGTGAAAATACTGTTGACACTGACAGTCTTTGACTTCATGATATTATTTGCCAAATATTTTATTTATAAATGCAAGATGAAGGATATTCCTCTTAACTTAAACCAATTCAAACGAGGATTACATTTTCGTTACATATTGAAAAATTACAAGTGTTATTCACAATGAATACACCCGTGAACATACGGGTCAGAATAGGTCCTCAGCAACCCATGCTTGTCGTTATAGGCGTCTAACTTGTTGGTACATGTCATCGTATGCCATTTATGTGGATCGTTGCTAATGATGTCGATCACTGGATTGTCAGGTCCAGACTCGACTATTTACAAACCGCCGTCATGCAGCTGGAATATTGCTGAGTATTGCGTAAAACAACACCATGAGCATCAATCTAGGCAATTGGGATACACTGACCAATTCAGCGAGCCTGACCATCCAATCCCGTTAGTCGCATGGGTAGCTGGAGATCAATTCTCACCCGGGTCCTACGGGTTATGAGTGAGTGAGTACGGTTTTACGCCGCTCTTAGCAATATTCAAGCAATATCGCGGCGGAGGACACCAGAAATGGGCCTCATGAATACATTGTACCTATTTCGCGAATCGAACCCGGGTCTTCGGCGTGACGAGCGAACGCTTTAACCACGAGCGGGTTACGAGGCTGCTGTACAATGTAAACA